CTGTTCCTCCTCCTTTTCCTCCTTTGAATACCTGTTAATCAGGTATTGGAAATTCCAGATTGATTCTCTAGTTTTTGTTATCTTTTTTATTTCCTTTTTCTTACTTGTTCTACTTTTTTGTTTGATTTCATCAATCAGGACTTGCACTTTTAGAATTCCCTTGTTTGTTCTATCTGCTAACAGCCTCTTAGAGCTTTTTGTTTCTTTCAGTGATTTGTAGCATCTGAAGGTGAGATCAATTTCAACAGAAGTTGCTCTTTTCTGTGTCTTAGGATGAGGAACAACCTTAAGGGGTTCCCTTATGTTTCACCAGATGCTAAGATTTTGGTGCAACAAGTGTCCCCCAAGTGGGTATTATATTAAAGGCCCCCAGGGTGGCAGTTCTAAGAGGGTGATATGACCTTTAAAAGATGGGGCCTAGACGTTGGGGTGTGCCCTGCAAGGGCATTGTGAGACTTTGTTCTCTCTTCTGTGGTTCAAGATATGACCACTGGCTTGGACACACAAATTCCTGTAGTTGCTCTCTACCTCCTTCATCAGAAGTCATGCAAATGCTCTATATACATCCAATCTTGAACGTCTAACCTGAGTTAATCAAACCCTTTCTCTTTATAAAGTTAGTTGTCTGTGGTATTTCATTAAAGCAATGCAAAGTTGACTAATAAACCACACAAGATAAATTTTAACTATCTTAACAAGGGGTCTCTGAACTTTGTGAGGAGTCTGAATTTAGTGCCCACACTCAGGTGTAATACAGGTTTGGGGTCTAAATTTCTCTTGTTCAACCATGATCTCAGAGGGATACAAGCTCTTTATTGTTTTCCTAGGCATGTTCACAAAAGGAACAACCTTTTGTGATTATTGACCTATCACAAGATAGCTTGTGTTAGCTTCATACAAGCATAGGATCTGAGGCTCCCAATATTTTTACTCCAGACAATCAGAACTCCAATATTCTGAGGATGGGGATAGAATTCAATAGTAAAGAGTGAGCTTAACATGCATGAGGCTCTATATTTGATCCTGAGCACCAAAGAAAACAACAAGCTAGTCATGATGCTATGTGTCTGTAGTCTCAGCTACTCTAGAGGTTGAAGTGGGAGAATTAGTCCATGAGTCTGAGGACCACCTGGGAACACAGTAAAACCCAATCTTAAAACAAAACCAAAACCAAACCACCACATCCCCCATGCCCAAAAGTTAAGGCTTATAACACTTCAAGTTTTTTCAGCTTTTGCTTTTATTCACTAATCAACTTTGAGTTTATTCTTCATTTCTGGCATCTGGAGGACCCGTTCTTAGTCAATGTTTTCTCATATTATATCCTGAATCTCTATTGTTTTATGGGAATGGTGTTGTGACAGCTTCCTATCCAGTGTTCCATCATCTCAGTATCATATCTTTCCTATCTACCAAACCCATAGAGAAAATCCCTCTACAAAATCCTAACTCTATTCTCATTAGTCACTTTTCTTCCTTCCTTTTCTCCATTCGTCCAGATTCTTCATCACCAACACCCAGGAACCAGGTCAGAAAAGTAGAATCTTCCCAAGAGAGGTCTCTTTGGTGGGTATTTGGAGGGAAAAAGGCTTAAAACATCTACAAATGTTTAAAGGGAAGACTTTTGTCCCATTGATGCTTCTTAAAACTGATTCAGCAAATGGCTAAGTAGAATTTAAAGATATAAAGTTAAAAAGGTTTGATTAAAGGCAGCATTTCACTTTGCTTACAGATTACACAGGTCTGTCAGGGAGCATATTCTGCTTCTTTGGAGTTGAACAAAAAACTTAATTTCAAAGTTCTGCTACAAGTTTCACGACAGTGGTTTTCTTTTCAATATAGGAAATGCCAGAACCTTAACATGTCAAGAAAGGGTTCCACTGAGGACGTGCTATGTAAAAGAGTTAAATTTCCTTTTGTCTTGACCTCAGATAAATTGGGGTATTTTGCATCCACTTTTGAAACTTTCCCCTACATTCTAACTTCCTTACTTAGGCAGTAGGTTTCCCTGCAGTACTCCTACACAGAATTCCCTGCATCATTTCTCTCCTGAATTTTGTATGACAGTGTTAGTATCATATCTGAAGGTGAAACAGTTCACATCCAGGTCTGGTGGTGTCCAGACTCAAAAGAACCAAAGACACACACCAGAACTAAGAGTAGCTCAAAAGAGTATTTACAATATGGAAAACTTACAAAGAAATATGATGTTAACAATGACGATGGTAACAGTAGCTAGTATTTATTGAATCATAACATTTATGAGGAGTTAATCTAAGTGCTTTGCATGGATCATACAGTTCCAATCCCAGTCCTCACAAGACTTAACTACTGTTGTCATTTCCCATTTACAGATCAGGAAACTGAGGCATAGAATGTTAAAATAATCCTCAAGGTTATATAAGTCTTGTTAGCATTGACAAAGGGGAAAATAAGAGGAAAAATCTAGAGCTACTGTAAGGAAATTCAGGGATCAGGAGTTTGTGTGCTATGTATTTCTTTTATTGTTTATTCATATGTGCATACAATGATTGGGTCATTTCCCCTCCCTCTCCTCCCCCCAACCCAGCCCCCTCTCTCTCCTCCCCACCCCCTCACTTCCAGGCAGAAACTGTTTTGCCCTTATCTCTAATTTTGTTGAAGACAGAGTATAAATAATAATAACAAAGACAAAGGGTTTTTGCCAGCCATGTATTTCTTTTGCTATAAATTAATGCAGTTCTGTCACAATACCATCAGTCTTCACTTCTTCATTCCCAATTTCAACTTCCATGAGCGGTCCAGCTTTGGTCTATCCCTGATAAATTAATAAGTTATGATCAGGGAACACAGGAATACAGAACTAGTTCCTTGTAGGCACTACCTAGAAATGCAGTGGTGGTTATAAACAGGCAGCCACTTCAAATGGGTCTCTACTGGAGGACCTAATGATGTAATAAGCTATCACACGTGCACAAAAATGATTTTCTGTAATTGATAGATGTTCCAACAATGAGTATGTTTATTAATTAAAACATAGCATGTAAGTTTTGTTTTTGGTTTCTCTGGAAACCAAAAATCTTGTACATTCTACATTGACAAGATTGGGAATCGTTTATTATTTCATTTTCCTTAATATGGAGCACTCTCTGAGGAAGCTCAGTTTACACTGAAATTATAGACTTTTATTTCTGACAGCATGCCATATTAGCTACTCTGAATGAGCCACCTTGAAAACAACTAAAAATTTTGGGTTAAAAAACTTAAGATACATTGATAAACTGGCAAGAAAAAGAAATACTCAGAACGAATATAAAAGGGATAGTGGGGAGGAAGGAAAATGAGCATAAGAGCTAGAGTGAGCTTTTATTCAGAGATTATGCGTCAAATTACAGACACTTACCAGGTCCTGCTTTGCTAGTTGTTTGGCATGCCAAAGTCAGAAGACCAATTGAAAAGGAGGAGTCTAATAGCAGACAAACGTTTGGGACTCCTGAAAGCTATAATCCCTGTGTATGGGCGAATGAGAAACAAACGCCCTGCAGAGAAGTCAGTAAGAAAACATGCCTGTCTTGGACTTGGAGCCCAATAAGGAAATAAAAGTCTCACCTGAGAATCTACAACAGGACATTTGAGTTAGAGTCTTAAATTCAATCTACCTGTGCAATACAATAAACCTCAACCAGAATTTAATCTGGTCCTAGGGTTGATGGTTTCCCCAAGCAACTTGTAAAAGTAAATTCTAATACTCTCTAGGAAAAGTCAATTTTAACTCCAGCTCCAAAGAATCCCCATATTTATAATATGGAGAATTGAAAGACACAACCCACAAAGAAGTAAGACACCATGAGCAAAAGTGCCTGTTTTTAAAGACACAGCACACAAAGATGTATAAAACTGTCAGTGCTGTACTTCACAGAAACAGAATGTAGACTTAACTTGTTTAATTTGTATAAGAAATAAAATGGCTTGAGAAAAGAACAAAATAGAACTTCTAGATGTGTTCCAACTTCGAGATGGAACACATGAAAAGATTCAGAAAAATGGAGGATAAAAATAAGAAAGTCTTAAAAGATGTTACATAGATGTTGCAATGGTTAAATAGTTAAAAGTGTAAAATTACAATACTTGACATTTCTTTAATGCCAGACCTTTTAAAAAATATTTCTTAAAGAAACTGAGCAGTGAGATACTAAATTTATCACTGGCAAATGTTGCCCGGAGGAGGCAAAAAGTAAAAAAGACGAACTCAGGACCATAGCCCTCTAACAGTGGCTGTAAACTCATCTTAAGGTTATCGCCAGTGCAGCCCTCTCGACATTAAGTTTCCCTGCGTGGCTTGCGGTCAATCTGGACGTGTGTGGGTGCCGGCTGCCGGTACCCGACCACTGACATGACAGTGACAACGAGACGCACCTCAGGGTGCTACGTATGTTTATCAGAGGCTCTTAGGGCATTTGTGGACATCTAGTAATCCAGGAAATGGACATCACTCCACAGTCTAGGACAAACTATCTCAAAGTTACGGGAAACCAAGCCGAGGTCCAACTTGTATCTCAGCAATGCATACTGCAGACACACTCCGTTTGAAACACTCGGAATGGGCCGCACCACGCTGATTATTCCAGATTTGGAATCTTTACTATCTCCCTAGCACGCCCGGAGATCCATGACTCACAAACGCCAGGGCGTGGAACCACAGTCTCAAAGAACAGGTGAAAAGTTGTTGCTAGTAGAGCCGTGCAGTCGCATACAAGTCCCGTCGTTCCTCGTGCGGAAAACCAACAAATAAACAGAGGTGCCGCATGTCCCGCTCTGCGGCGCCCCTACCGCAATGGCGCCTGGTTTCTGTAGTCTCCTCGTGGAGAGCAGCCAGCGCCCTTCTGCCCTCCGTGGATGAGGAGAACTACATTTCCCACAAAGGGGCGGGAGCGAGCCCCGACCTGGCTACGTCACCGCTCCCGCCGGCCAATGGCAGCTCCGGGCGGCGGTGAGGCAAGCGCCGTCAGGCGCCAAAGTGGTTTTTTTTTTTTTGTTTTTTTTTTTTTTGCCGGAGTCGAGCGGGTGCTGCTAGCGGAGGCGCCATATTGGAAGGGACAAAACTCCGGCGACAGCGAGTGACACAAATAAACCCCTGGACCCCTTCATTCCCCCAGCTCTAAGGGCCGCGATGTTGTACCTAGAGGACTATTTGGAAAGTGAGTGCGCGGTTCGGGCGGTGCCGCCTGTGGGACCTGCGGGCGGGCGAGAGCGCGAGTGGACGGGCAGGCGGGATGGCAAGAGGGAGGGGGAAGCGGGGGATGTTTCTTTCTCACGGTAACTGGCAGCCTCGTTGTGAGCTGCCGGCCCCCTCGCCCCCCCGACGCACGCACGCACGCAGTGACGTAAGCGCGTTCTGCTTTCGCCGTTGGCTCCGCCCCTCTGACGGACTCTCCCTTTGACAGTGATTGAGCAGCTTCCAATGGACCTGCGGGACCGCTTCACGGAGATGCGCGAGATGGATCTGCAGGTGCAGAGTAAGTCGGCGCGTTTTCTCCGCCTCGCTGCGCGCGTCCGGGGCACCGGCGCCCTCTGCCTTGGGCTCCCTCGGGTCATCGCGCTGGCATTAAAGGGCTGCCAACGAGCTCCAGCACTGCTGTGTGGTGCCCTTCTCCGCTCCCGCGCGCCTGCCCCTGCGGCGTTTGCCAGAGGAGCGGGTTTTCGGACACGAACGTTCCTTTCTCGGATTTGGCGCGGTGCAAAACTTGCTTCTGTGCCTTCAAAGAGTATGGAGATACTGGGTGTTGTAGTGGGAAAAAAAACGTTGAGAAGATTTTCCCTGGGTCTTTGGATCGAATTTAGATTTCACACTTCTGTTGCAGTGCGTTCCATTGAGAATTGTCCAGGACATTTACGACCCTGGCGAACGTGGAACGCCGGACTCTGACAGTTCGCCTGCGGCGCTCCGAATTGTCAGCAGCGCAGGCGCTCATCCCCAGTCGCAGGCCAGGGTAGATCGCGCTCCTGCCTGCTGTTAGAAACATTGACAGTGAGCGGGCTTGGAAGTCCACTGAATACTTTTTCCTGGGTTAACCCTGCTCCTTCTCAGAACAGGGACTCCAGGTAGTGAGCTCGGGGACCAGTTGAGGTTGCTAACAGCGTGTCCTTTCATTCCCACCAGCACAATACACTTGGTTTTCTCTCCGTCTTATTTGCGCATATTAATTGTAGAAAGGAGTCTCACTGTGACATTTCCATACGTGTTTATAGTATACTTTGACCAAATTCTCCTACACGTGCACTTCTGCACCCTTTGTGTTAGTTTCTTGGGGCACCTTGTCACCTTAAGTCCGAATTGTGTGTGTGGTTTTTCCAGCATACAATCCTTTTTAACTTTAAAGTAGTTAAAATGCTAAAGACTTGCTGAAATAGTGTTCTCTGCAGCACTGAGCATAAACTTTGATGTCAGATAGATGCAAGTTTACTTTAGGATATTGATAATTTACTCATTGACTGCCATTGCCACTTCCAAGGGGTTTTCATTGTAAAGAACAGGAATCGTCTGCATTATTTGAAATAATACAGATAAATCAAAATATGTAATACCTGGTAGAAAGTAGTAGTAGAGGGTTATTTTAAACTTCTTGTTCACTATTAAATTTTTTTTAATTTTCTGGAAATTTGGATTTAGATTATACATATAATCTAAATATACATAGTGTACATCTTTTTAAGCTTGTGGGGTTTTTTTCACAGTAATTAGAATCTTCTAAAGTTAATAGGTATCATGGATTAACAAAAGATAATAGTATGTCAGATGTTAAGGAAAATACTTTAAAAAATTAACTGTAGGATTTCTCAGAAAGTTTGAAAAGCTATTATGCCCTGAAGAATTTTAAAGGAAGAATATATCAATAAATTTTTTTCCATTTCTGTAACATTAGGTGAATAAGTGATTGCTCTTACTACTTTCAGTTGTGATATGCAGTGATGTGGTGCTTAAGGCTACCTAACAAGTGGCTTAAATACGTTTAACACCTTTTCATTAAAAAATATGAGGACTGTCTATTACTTTCAATAAGCAGTTGTATTTTGCCATGTTCAGCTTTGACTATTGAGCTATTTGGCTATTCAGCTATTAGCTTTGACTCCAAGGTTGTACTATTCAAAACTATGGTACAGATTGTTACCTATGCTATTGACTTAACCTATTGGAAAAAGTTTTAAAATTAAAAGCAACTGTCAATAGGGAAAATTGTAACTTTTAACGTAGTTAAAGCAATAGATGTTTAAGTAATCAAAGCATAACTTATTTAAGGTACTAGCCAAGTAGTATAGTATGATCTATAAATTTGGTTATCTACATATGAAATGCTTTTTATTATGTCAGATGCAATGGATCAACTAGAACAAAGAGTCAGTGAATTCTTTATGAATGCAAAGAAAAATAAACCTGAGTGGAGAGAAGAACAGATGGCATCCATCAAAAAAGTAAGTTTGCTGCTTTGAATGACATCAGTATCTACTAGGACCCTCTGTCAAAGATAATTTAAATAGATTTCTGGATATCAAAATGAGGCAAAGTTGTCAATGACTCACTAGCAGTTAGTTAGTTAATTATACATCAGATCTTCAGGTATAGGGATATTTAAACATTGAAGTACGTTTTGTTATTTTTAAAATTATTTCAAAGTGCCCAGTGGAGAGCTACTGAACTATTTGAAAAGTACATTTTTTTGTTCCTTTTTAACTTGTTCTTTTTTTCTAATTCTATATAATTAAGTTATCTTGCCTTTAGAAATGTAATACTGTTTTCCAGTTTGGGCCACAAATGGCTTAAAATCAGGAGACCTTGATCTTATTTTACATATTGCTAGGTACCTGAGTTGATGGACTCATAGAACAGAATCTTTATAGTTGGAGAGATCCTAAAAATGTCTTTCACTTTGAAATATGAATTAGATCTAGAAATACAGAATTCATTGAGTTTTATTAGTTGTATAGGGCTTTAGAGCTCTCCTCCAGATTAAAATGGGCATAAACTCCTACCCCAAGGTTTGCATTTAAGGTATGATCTAGTTTATCTAAGTATATATTGGGAGAAAAAAACTTGTGTTTGGTCACAACTGTCATTTAGGTGTATGATTGGTGAGGTCTTTTAATATTTCTGGGTGATGATGCCTCCGTACACCAAACTTCATAAAATTGTTCAAGGATCAACTAAGAAATTAACTTGGAGACTACCAATTCAGTAGTCCTATTATTTATTTTACCACATGGAGGGAAGATTGTTTCTGTTAGGAGGGAAAAAAAAAAAACCAACATCTGTAAGAGAAGTTGTCCTAGTTTGGAAGATGGCCAGTGTTCCAGGGTATGTGTGAGTGTAACATCACACATGTATCTCCCAAATCATTGGTCATCCCTTTAGTGTAGCAAAACTTGAGTGTACCCCCAAAATTCTGGCGTCCCATGGAAATATCTTGGAATCTTTTTTTGCTTCCTTTTTCAAAAAAATAAATTTTTTACACTGTAGAGAAATGTAAAGTATAGGTTGATTGAGTTGTATGAACTTACACCTAATTTAAAATGGAAGTTACAGAACAATTGAATAACAGGGATATGCGATAAGAATCCTTTCTATACCTGTACTTTTATTTTTAAAAAGTTTTAAAAGTGGATTGTAAGTGGGTCTTACATGTTAGATAAATCTTAACATTTTTCCTATTAAATAATATTCATTAGCTCACATAGTTTTTTTTAGTATAGAGAGTAGACCTGGAAGAGTATTTAGTTTTTTTTTTTCCTTAGGTATTATCTAGGAATTCTGAAAATCTTCCTTTAATTCTTGGCCGTTATGCATAATTTCTAATCCTATCCAACCTATGTCCTATCCCTAAGAGACCTTTTATTGCTAATGTGTGATGACTGGCAGTGGCAACAGATAGGATAATGAAAATGCATTACAGGTCCTACATTTGCATATTTAAAAACTATTAATTTATTCTTGAATGTGTTTTTATTCAGGACTACTATAAAGCTTTGGAAGATGCAGATGAGAAGGTACAGTTGGCAAACCAGATATATGACTTGGTAAGTAAAATGCATATGCATACTATGCCTTAAATACTAGGATTATGGATTATTTTCAGTTTTATTAGCTTAAGTAGAATAGGAAGAACAGACTAAAACTGGAGTGTTGTTCTGTTGGTCATATTTAATTTGAGGGTTCAGTGTCTGTATTTTAATTCTTTGTGGTACAGTCACAAAGAGTCCACAGTGCTTAGTTTAAATGTCAAGAATTATATTTTAGGAAAGATTACTGTAAGATTATGTGCTATAATTGATATCTAACTTTATTTCACTAATCCTTATTCTTTTAAAGTTGTGTGTACATGCCTTTTATATCATTTTGAGGTTGTTTCTGTGGTACAGTACATATAAGAGTACTGTGTGGATAGTTCTTAGTCTTCTGATTATAAGGAAAAGAATTATTTGGGAATTAGGGATGTTAATAGATTTCATCAACTAGGTGGCAAAAATGTTTGGAAAACATTAGATTATATAAACTTGAAAAAAGTTCTTTCTTGCAGCAATATTTGTAAAAGATTGAAATCACCAAGAAGACAAATGTTGTATATAATTATTTGTCAAATTGATTCCATTATGGTGACACTGCAATAATGATATGAAGCGTCATATTCTAATGCACATATTTTAGGAAATAGTAATTTCTGTTTATACCTCGGGGTTTGTTAAAGTAGAAAATAAGTTGCTTACCTTTGGTTAAATTCAGCTTATAGTTTTGTACCTTATTTTTGTTTTTTCTGGGAACAGTTTTATTACTGAACAAGTACATGTAAATAAAATGTTGGCAGGAGCATGACACAATAAAAAATGTACATACCATATATGGTGTGCCTTATAAATGCTTTTATTAAACCAGAAAACGTTTGTCACGTAAAGCTATAGAGAGTATTTAGTTGTTTTTTTTTTTTTGACATAATGCTATAATACTTTGGCTCTTTTGTTCACACAGTTGTTGTGAAAGAACACACAAAAGTTGTTGTGAAAGACAGACAAAAGAAAGATTAGTATAGGCTGTAATGGGATTTATTGTGAAATGCAATCAAAATATTTCTTCATTGTTTTGGTCTTGAATTTTGTCTGTAAGTATAGGGAAAGTCATTTATATTTTAATAAAAGAATAATTTGTTTAATAAGATCCTCATATTTAATGGCTACCAAATTTAGAAACTACCTGGTTTTTAATTGATATAGTCCTTTAGTTGTATTCCTTGGTTTGTTTAGTACTTTGTTTTATTACTAAAGATACTTCATATATTTAAATATATGTATATATATATATATATATATATATACATATATATATATATATAAAACACTTTATATGCTTTTTAAATACATGTGTGTGTGTATTCTTCTGTTATTTATCATCTACATTGTTCATCCACTGTGTGCCTGATGTAATGAAGTTTTACCTGGGAATTATGGAGGAATAAAAGTAAATGCTAGGAATGATTTCTGTCCTTAAGGTACCTGTTAAATAGCTGGGAAGACATACCCACAAATTCAAGTAGAGAACTCCTACTGTAAGATGTAACAAATAAAAGACCAGTGGAATTGAAAATTAAGGGGTATCTGGTGAAAAAATTGAACTAAGTTATCCAGAATTGTTTGTTGATTTCTTTGTGGGATGAGATGAGTTTGAATAGAGGGTCAGTGACTAGATTAGGAGTTGTATAGAGAGGAAAGCATTTCATTCAGAGATAATGGCATAAACAGAATGGAAGTAAAAATCAATAATTGTTTTCTTTGGAGGATAGATTACCTACACTAAAGAGTGACATAATGAAAGGGTGATGTAATAAATTTAATAACATTTAACAAATAGAGTAAGAAGTGAATGTCTGTAATAGCTGTATTGAGATGGTCAGTCCCTTCACTGACAGCATGACTTTGGAAAAGTTAATCTTAAACCTCAGGGGTTTTTTAACCTGTAAAATAACAATATTTATATCTCTTACTAGAGTGTTTGCACACACACAGTGCTCTTATCTTGGCACAGAGTAGGCATTCCCTCCTTCTTTAAAGAGTAATCCATCTCCTTTTCCCACCTGGGATTTTCTACTTCACTGAAGCACATGTTTCTCTTTCAGCCCTACCAAGTTAAAGCAGTCTTCTCTAATTCTCCTAATATCTCCAAGGCTGCCTTTTGTCTTTTTCTTTTTTCTTTTCTCACCTGCCTATTTTTGCCCTTTTCCTTTTTTATTATTTTTCCTTTTCTTTTCAAATAGTCCATTGCTCTTTCAGGTAGCCATTATATTCTCATTGTAAAAATCTTTCTTCCGCATGATCTCACTCATGGGGAATCTAAACTTACAGAAGTTGACAGTAGACTAGGGGAAAGCAGAGGAGTAGGGGGAGGAATGGGGAATGATGAGTAGGTAAGAAAGAAAGAAGTTCTGGTGTGCTGTTGCATAGTAGAGTGAATTCTTTTTTTCCAGAAAAAGAAAAGGTAGAAGCAAGGATTTTAAATGTTTTATTGTTATTATTGTTCTGCTGGGGATACACTGTGACATTTGCAAAGTTCTTACAGTGTATCATAGTTGAATTTACCCCTCCATCATTTTCCTTTATCCCCTTTCCCCCATTCCTGGAATAGCTTCTACAGGTCCCATTTTTCCATTTTCATACACGAGTACATAATATGTTCACATATTCACCCTCCTATACCCTTTCTTTATATCCTCCACCCTCCCACTAGTGCCAACCCCACACACAGGACCTGTTTTACCTTCCCATTCTACGTTTTTGAAAAAAAATTTTTTGTTTGTATAAGATAGTTATAAAGGGAGTTTCATTGTGACTTTTCCATGTATATATATTATAACCCAAATTGGTTCATCCCCTCTATTTTTCTCTTTTCTGCCTTACTCCCCTTCTTATGGTGATTTTAACAGGTATGAAAATTCTGTATTTATTCTTATGTAGCAAGTACATCAACCATATTCACTTTCTTAACTTCCTTCTTTTATCCTCCCTTTCTCATATGTGACCTCCCCTTAGTGTGACCTGTTTTTTATAATATTGCTTGTATTTGTATTGGGTCTGTATTCTACACGTGAGGGAAAACATGATGCTTTTGGCTTTCTGAACCTGGTTCACTTCACTTAAGATGATGTTCTCCAATTCTATCTATTTACTTGTAAGTAATGTTTTTACCATAAAAAAAATTAGTGTTTTGGGAGATAGATGTATTTATCCTGATTTGAATATTTTTCAATGTATATATGCATTGAAATATCAAATGGTTCCCCCATAAAAATGTACAAATTTTATGTATGTGTTAAAAAATTCTTTCTTCTCTGGAATTTAATCATCTATACCATCTGCTTTTTATCATTACTGTAATTTAATGGCTTCTCGATTGCCCCCCTTCATTTATTAAGAAACTGGCCCCTGGTTTACAGTTGTTCTTTCTGAAACTCTTCTGAGTCCCTAATCACCTACTTCTTTGACTTTTGTAAATTCTGGTCTACTTAGTTGTCACACACTGGTTGTGATCATCTCTTGGGATTGTTGTACCTCTGAAATACCTTCTGTGTCTGCTTCATTTCCTTCTACTTTGTCATCCTTTCCTATCCACCCTTAACCAGTTGAGTATCTGTAATCTGAAGGCTCAGAATCTAAAATGCTCCCCCAAGATGAAGTGTTTCGAGTGTTGACATGATGCCATAAGTGGAAAATTTCACATTCGACCTCATGTGATGGGTCTCAGTCAAACTGCAGGTGCACTAAAAATACTGTGTAACGCAACCTACAGGCTATGTGTCTAAGGTATATATGTGTAGACTTGGATTCTGTCTCCTCAGTATCTCAATATGTATATGCAAACATTTCAGAATCTGAAACTATTTGAAATCTAAAACAATTCTCATCCCAAACATTTCTAATAAGGGACACTCAAGCTGTATGTAATTATCTTTGATTTCATCCTTCGATGTTACATTTAACATTGTATTTCCTTGTATTTTTTATTGAAATAATTGATTTACTTGTAACATTGTTAGTAAGCTGATTTATTCCTATGAGCAGCACTATACTGGTTATTGCATAATGTCACAAATGAAGAAACTTGTGGTAACAACAAGACCCTCTCCTGTTAAAATAATTTCCTTCTAAAATCCTGATGCTTGTAAACAATCATTAAACACTATTTGTGTTCCTCAGCCAGCTGCCACTGTCATAAGGATGTATTAGATTGCTGTACCTAATAAAGTTGATTTATATGTACTGTGATAAAATTTGAGCTTTTACTAAATGCTTGAATGATTTTAGCAGTCTCTTGCAGTGCTTAATACCTTTGAACTTGCTTCTCTTTTTATATCCTGGCCTGTTCTTCAATGATTGTATTTCAGACTCATATTTTACCTATAAATTTGAGAGTTCTTCATCTGATACTCTAATTAAGGAAATATATTATGTGAGTCTGACCTTTTGACTTGTCTTCTGTCCTTATTGTCTTTTAGGAAGATGATTAAATATAGTTTATGTGTTAATGCCTCAAGTATTTAGAACAGCCTAAAAATAGGTCACATTTTCATTTAGTTTAAATATAATTTAGAAATGTAAAATACCATTTTTATGACTTATCAGAGAAATACTTTGCCATATGGCTCCTTCACCCCTCCCCCAATTTACGCTCCTTCCTTATTCACTATAAGAAAATCTTTTCGTGGATAGAAATTTATCTCTTACTGCAATGGATTTCAACTTAGAACCTAATAAACTCATTTTGAAAGGTTAAGCTAGGTATCTAAATTTTAAAATTTGACTGTCTTGGCAGCAACAAGTCATGTTGAAACTTAAAAACCTGTTATCTCATAGTTTTAATTTGTGTCCATTAGTGACACATTTAAAATTTGAATATTGAAAAACTGAAAGATTCAAAAGGAATAAAATGTTACAATTCTGTGTAAAAGAATAAAGGATTTTTTTGTTGTTGTTCATTTTGTTTGTTTTGTGCAGAATGGCCATTGGAAAACCATGCAAAAGCATTAAAGGATATTTTTGTTGTTACGCATTTTGTTGCTTGCTTGGTGCAAAAGAGGGCAAGTGTGATTTAAGTTATTTATGATCATGAATGTGGTAAATGTTTCTTTTGTCTCTAAGGAGTTCAAAAAAAGGATAATCATTTAAATTTAACCATTATGATTTGGGATTATAGATCAAGGAAGCTTTTAGACAGTACTTACTGACATTAAATGAAAAATCAATAATTAGACTCTGTGGTTAGCCCTGTGTTGGGAATCTATAGTTAATGGAAAATCTCTCTCAAATAGACCCTTTCCCTCTTCACTACAATAAAGCAATCTGATGGGGTCATGTGTACATGGAGGGGTGGTGTAGTGTAGGTCCTTGCTTTTCCTGATTCCTATGCAGCCATTATGGTGATTCACTATAATAGGTCCTTTACCCATTCATGTAAGTAGAAGAAGTCATGGGTAGAGAGAAGACGTATTACAGATTTCAGTCAAGTTCAGTTCAGCTCTTATTATGACCATTAGTACTTGTTTAAGTGACCTACTGTTTTATAACTTGGAACCTAAGTTAAATCTTGTTAACTTTCTGTCTTCAAGTATGATTTAGTTCAGCAGTGATAAATCTAAAAAATAGTTCTCATTGCCTAATAATTGCTTATAATACTCATCAGTTCATAATTTTTTTAATATATCAAGAAGTAACAAGGATGGGAAGCCATCTTACAAAGCTACCTTACCCAAAGGTGGTTAAAGCTTTTTTAACTGTTCAGCTATGAGTTTAGTTTTGAGAGTTATTAATTCTCTGAATTGTGCTATCTTTTGGGGGCTAATAGTATTGACAGTTTCATCTTTTTCCATGCTTTTCATGTACAATAAATTTCATCAACAATATATTTTATAAAATGAGCATTTTTTAAATGCAGAGGTGGACTTTGTGTGGTGTGTGAAAAAAGAACTTTGTATCACCCTCATAACATCCAACCAACTGAAATTCTAACACTTGTCCTCTCTATGTTGTTTATACCACAAGCCACACCATATTCTTTTTCTTGAATGAACTCTTTGTCTATCTCTATATGCTTTTGGTATTACTCCTTTCCATTTATTTGAATGTAATTTATTTTTCACTAACTCATTCATACCTCCTTTATATCTTTCACAGCCCAGTTACATTTTGTTACATTTTTCTTCATGTATTACTTCTTATTCTTTTTAAACTGTTGCTTATTTATTGCACTTGGATTATATCTTTGTTTAACCCTTATTTTGTTAAAAAATTTTATGTAAATCTTGATTTGTTGGCTAAATTCTGATTTCTCTGAAAGCAAGGGATTCTCTCACATTGGTCATGTATCCACTTAATCCAGTGCCAAGTACATAATAGAAGCTCAGTATGTATTGTTACTATAATTATAGATAAGAAAAATGGAGTGATTTCACTGCATTAAGTGTTTTAGAACTTAATAAGTTTTTGAGTATTCTCATTTCCCTTGAGATTAAATTTTGACAATGAAAGAAATATTCTTGAATAATGGAGGTCTGTGTTCATACTTTTGTCATTGGAAGGGAGATTCCATTAAAGGATGCTCAAAAGTTACCTGCACGTTCTTTGAATAGGAGCAAGTATCCATAACATGTGACCAACATGGTTTTAAATGTTACAATAATTACATCGTCTGCCAACTTCTAACGAGTAATTTGTATGTGAAGATGGAAGGAAAACTAGGCTTTCAATCACTGAGAAAATCACAAACTAACACCCCAATGGTTGTTGCTAGCATTACAAAATATAAATAATAGGACAGTATTACTGGCTTTTCAACTTGAATTAAATTACTCTGAGTTAACAAAAAATAGTTGGTTTTTATGTGCAGAAGTTCAAAGGGCAATGTTAAATATAAATGGTAAAGCATAACTTATTTACACATAGATCATAGTTAAATCTGGTTTCTTAGTACATTAAATATACAGCTTTGGGCATGTTACTTAACCCCTCTGAGACTTAGGTTTTTCTCTTATAAAAATGGAGACAGTAATAACTTACCTCAAAAGATGAGAGTGAGGACTAGGAAAGTTAGACAGCCAATGCACCAAGCACTGTGCATCACATGGCCTCTTCATCAGCACCTAACATATATTCTTTGTCTTTTAATATTTTGTCCCTTTCTCCTTCATCTCAGATACACATTATTTAATTGAACTTCTTATTTAAATTTTTGCCCTTATGCTGTACTATAACACATTTTGATATTTATAAGAAACTCATTCCTAATTTTAACAGTGATCCAGTGAAGCTAGACTTTGAAAAGTAGTGTTGTCAATGAAGTAGCATAAATATTTTTAAATAATTTATATTTTCTTGTTTCACTTCAAACTAGTAAGTTTGAAAAAGTATTGAAAAATATTTAATATTAAGCTTAAAAATATATTAAGACATGGCTGCTAGTTTGAGGTGGCATATTTCCTGAAATTAGTCAGAAGAGCTCTAGGTACATGAGAAAGTAAAATTTTGCTCTTTTAGTTAGTGCAGTAGTATTACAAATAAAATGTTAACCAAGTTTTTTGGAAAATGAAATTTTCTGGCTAAAACTCCCTTTTGTTTGAGCCCTTTACATAAATATTTACAACTATAATAGTTCACTTTCCTGCCTTAGAGAAATGTATGTAGACTGGGGATCTTTCTTTGATCATTCTAAATAACAGTTCTTCTGGTGTCATACTGCAGATGACTTTATTATAAGTAGAGGAGGTTAAGCTGGAAGTAATCACAGAGGGTATTTTGAACAGTTGCCAGCCCTTAGACTCTCCTCTCACTATCAAATCCCTAGACCCAGTATTCTTTAATTTTCATATTCCACTTCTAAAAATTGAGAGTAGAACATTTTTTTAAACAAATTAAGATTCCAGTTTCTTAAAAACAGGCTTGGGAAATTAGTTTAGCACACTTAATCTGTAGATTCAGAACCTCTGAGGCACTAATTAATTGACTTGCTCAAGAATATTAAGCAGATTCACTAAAAGAAACAAAGATTTAGGTTTCCTCATTAAACTGACACTTTAACAGTGTCCCAAATTTTGGTGGTTATCTTTGATCTTCTTTGAAACAGGTAGATCGACACTTGAGAAAGCTGGATCAGGAACTGGCTAAGTTTAAAATGGAGCTGGAAGCTGATAATGCTGGAATTACAGAAATATTAGAGAGGCGTAAGTAAAATTTACAGTTTTCCATCAATATTGGACAATCAATACATGAACAAATCACTGAGGAGACACTTGCCCCACAGAAGCCTTTCAGATCCTGCCCTTTGGTGTGGTGGCATCCTGGTCACATAACCTGGAGCCCAGCAGTTGAAGCCGTTTGGGTTGTGGATATTGAAAGCGATAATGGAGGATATCATCCTATTCACTCTTAAGGAAATAACATTAAGTCTTTTGTTGTTGTTGAAATGGGGTCAACACTATGCAGCCCAGGCTGGCCTTGAACTCTCTATGCTCCTCCTTCAGCCTCCCAGTTTCTGGGATTGTAAGCATGTGCCACCATGTTGAGCAAGTCGTTCCATTTTTAAATATCCTCATATGCTAGTGGTAAGAAGAAAGCGTTAAAGAAATGTAACCATCAAGAAACAGATCAGCCATGTGTCATTCATGTATTGATTTTTTTTCCCTGCCTATTTATATACTTAGGCTTTGAGGAAGGTCGTTAGTTTTTCTTCTTAAGAACTGCCATAAGGCTTTTCCTCAACTGTATGTACTTGAGAAAGAATCTGGTTCCACAACATTTCCTCTTTTTAAAGAAGTCTTTTCTAATTTTCTCTTATCAGCAAAAAGCCATATTAATATTCCTTTGCAAGGCTTAACTTGATCTCCTGCTGTAACTTACTCCTAAATACTTCCTGGGTTTAACTCAGGAGACTTCCCCCAAATGGCAGCATGAGCTCTGTTTCTTTAACATCTCTTCCAACCTAAATAGGTGAGATACATAAATTCAGATAATGTGATGCTAGGCTCAGAGGAGAGACTCAGTAAATATTAATAGAGGCAAATTAGTGGCTGATTTCTACTAGAATTTAAAGTGTTTAAACATATATATATATATATTTTTTGGGTGCATTCAGCAGCAAGAATATGTGCCTGTTTCTACTCACAGATAGGATTTGACAGTACGAGGCTATACATTTCTCCATTGATGCACTTATATGGTGCAAGCTAGAGAAGTCAGTCACAAATCCATTTCTGTATCCATAGTTGCATTCTGAATTAAAAAATAGATCTATCTTTTCAGATAACTATCTAATTTATCTGTGGTACTTGGGGACAAAATGAAATAGTTTATAGCTGCTTTGATTTCTTTCTTTTGTTTTGTTTTGTTTTGAAAGGCTGAAGGTAACTGAATAATGACAACTCATGCCTATTCAGTACTGCAGGAAGGTTAATAAAGCATCCTCTCTAAGGACACAGACATATGAAACTAAATTGGATCAAGTTATAAAACTGCTCCATCCTATGCCCTGCCATAATTTCATCTCAAGGGATCAAAAAACAAACCTGGAGAATTTTTTAGAAGTATTTTAAAGCTTGTTATTAGAGATTCTATTTCTCATTTTTTGCAAGCATAATCCCTAAATTTTTAGGAAGTCTTTATTATTATATGCAATTTTAATGATTAAAGAATTTCTTTTGCTATAGTAATGTCCCTATCACCTGGAACATGAGGATCTCCTACTGAAAGGTCTTTAACTCTGTTATATTAGATTGAATTTTTTAAATCTTGTCAGTAATAGAGTTATAATGTCCCTTCATGCATTTATGTGGCACTCATTCTGGTGGATCCCCTAATTAGACATTAGGTAAATATTTGAGAAATGGATATCTTATTGTTGAAGAGACAGGATAGTTCAGGATGCAATTGGCAGTGTTGATTCTCAGCCTGTCTGGCTAAAGTGATACAGCCATGTGCATCAGAGCTTGTCAGTCTCCTGTGGGTGAGGGAGTACATTGCTTGTGGTTGGTGACATGTCAAGTTCGTGTGGTGACATTTAATGGTGGCTTGTCTCTATGCCTCTCTTTTTAGGATCTTTGGAATTAGATACTCCTTCACAGCCAGTGAATAATCACCATGCCCATTCACATACTCCAGTGGAAAGTAAGTTTGGTTGAAGGCAGCTAAATTTTAAGTGTGATTAAAAACTTGTTATTAATACCAACTATATGTTCTCTTTTATTAGTTCTACATAGTCAATTGAGGAATAAATATCCTTTCCTTTTCTTCATAAAATATTTTTGTTCATCGCAATTACTCATAAACCTTTTCATTTGGGAAAAGTATATTTGATTTAGAACAGAGTAGTCTAAATTTTATAAATAAAATTTAAATAAATTTAAATAAATTTTAAATTTAAATAAATTTTCTGTGAAATTTATAGAGGGAGTATACCTAGAAGTAATAGCAGCATATGCTCCCTACCTACAGATATCTGATTCCTCTAGGAGTGTAACAACTGAGCCAAATAATAAAGTGTTTCTGGTTAGGCCCTTCGTCTTTTTCACCCTTGCTTTTCTAGTGCTTAGCCTAGTGCTTGGCATATAATGAAGTGTCACATGGTTTGTGACTAAAGGAATTTTGGATGGATGTCATTTTAAGGATTGAAGTATGATGATTATAATGGAACATGAATGTGAAATGGGGACAGTCTGTGCCAGGGGGAGGAGGGGAATGGAAAAGGGGAAAGGATACTGAGGGATGAAGAGCATCAAAGTGTGCTTCGTGTATATACTAAGGCAGCATAATGAACCCATCATGCACTGTTTGGAAAAGAGGGAGGGAGGGAGAAATGGGAAAGTAATGGAGGAGATGTACTTGTTTCAAGGACACTGTACACAAGTGAAGTCAATTTGGCAAGAAAGAAGAGGTGATTAAAAACTGTAATGTTTTGCAAACAGATTATCCTTCATGTTATATGTGAAACCATAGTGCATCATGGGTTATCTTTAGTACTTTGCTCCTGAGATTTTTTAAATGTCTGAGATGTGTGCTCTCTTAGTAAAAATAGATGACTCAACACTGTTCTGCTTGTCTTGCCTTCTGAGGAAACAATGTTCTGTGTTTCATGAGGAACTTAAGATTGTAACTTTACTGCTTTGTAACTGGATGGAAGAATTATGTCTTGTCTGTTGCTTTCTAAAGTTTAATAGTATGTGAATTCTTTATTTATATTCAGAAAGGAAATATAATCCAACTTCCCACCATACAACAGATCATATTCCTGAAAAGAAGTTTAAATCTGAAGCTCTTCTATCTACCCTTACATCAGATGCCTCTAAGGAAAATACACTGGGTAAATTTATTTTCTTTAATGTGACAGTTTGCTTTTTTGTTTGTTTGTGTTAGGATAAGGGGAAATGAAAGCATCCAGGGTTAATGAACCATAGCACTTTCATTACCTGGTTAAGTCTGCATATGGAGAGAAAAGAAAAGGGAAAAATGTTTTCCATTATTTAGTTAACTCAGTCTGTAACATGAAGAATTTAAATTTAATGATTATATCTATCCTAGGAAATAATGTATTTTAAATTCAGTAACATTTTGTTCTCTGCACCCATTTTGTATCTTTACTTCTATACAGGTTGTCGAAATAATAATTCCACAGCTTCGTCCAACAATGCCTACAATGTGAATTCCTCCCAACCTCTGGCATCCTATAACATTGGCTCATTATCTTCAGGAACTGGTGCAGGAGCAATTACCATGGCAGCAGCTCAAGCAGTTCAAGCTACAGCACAGGTAAAAAGTAAAAGGTTTAGAAACAAAATGTTACATTTTGTCCGCATGGTTAGCAAACCCTAAATGAAACAACTGGATGTGAGCAAACAGTTTCAGATATGTATAGTGTTAAATCATAGTTTTATGACATGACATTTTATTTAATAAAATAATATATGATTTACCTGATTAATAATGAAATATAAAAAATAGATTCATCATGCAGACCTTTTAATGATAGTTGCTCCTATCATGTGTGATCCAAACTGGAATCCACAGCCAGGCCAGGACAGTTCTTTGTTCTTTCTACTACTTTCATGGCTTTCTCTTAGAAATAATACTGGCTGGAGTTTGTTCAATTCTATAGTTTGAAATAAGAAGTTACTTCTCAATTTAGTATAAAAACTGATTTTTAAATCTTTACATGAACTAGCTTAAATGCTAATAATGAAAGTAATAGTTTAAACAAAATAAGCATTGGCTTATTTTGTTTAAATTATTGGACAAATGAAAATAACACTATAACTTGTAAAACTCAAAAAATCTACATATTTACATATATTAATGCTGTCAATGAATGTCTACTTAAGATGAAAGAGGGACGAAGAACATCAAGCTTAAAAGCCAGTTATGAAGCATTTAAGAATAATGACTTTCAGCTGGGAAAAGAATTTTCAATGCCCAGAGAGACAGCAAGCTATTCATCATCTTCAGCACTCATGACGACATTAACGCAGAACGCCAGTTCATCAGCAGCTGACTCACGCAGTGGCCGAAAGAGCAAGTAAGTGTCACCTTTGCAGCAGCCTTCCTGCCCCGCTGCTGTGTACTCAGGCACTTAGCTCTTGACTGGGCCTCTAAAGAGTAACCAAAGGCAGATGGATGGACATAATGCAGCAAGATGAGCCTCAGGGAGATAGAAAGATACTGGGTTTCGCTTTACCCAGCCTTACTTTGAAGGAGTACTTTAAAAGTATGGGAATTGTTTTAATTTTTGTAGAATCTTAAATTGAGTTTTTAAATAAATGACTTCTAGTTACTTCTTTTATTATACTGTTTTCCAGCTATAACTTATTTTCCCATGTTTTCAAGATAAATGAATACAAAAATGTAAGTTATATTATGTAAATTTTTTTAAGCAAGAGTCTTCATTTTGATTAATAGCAAAGTCCCCAAAATTCTTGGTTATATTCCCAGAATTGATGATGCAAAAATATCTCTAGAGGCCAGGTGTGATGGCACACGCCCTTAATCTTGGCAACTCCAGAGGAGAGACTGGGAGGATCATGGTTCAAAGCCAGCTGGGCAAAAAGGTAGAGCGAGACCCCATCTCAGTTAGCAAACTTGATGTAGTGGCTTGCACCTGTGGTCCTTGCTCCTGGGAAGCATAGATAGGGTCACAGTCTAAGGCTGGCCCGGGACAAAAATGTGAGACTGTACCTGAAAAATAACTAAAGCAAAAATGGCCTGGGCTAATGGCATCTGCCCAGAAAGTGTGAGGTCCTGACTTCAAGCCCCAGTACCACCAAAAAAAAAGGAAAAACATAAAATATATCTAGATTGTGCATGTGACACTCTTAGGGTGATGGTTTAAGTGTGAAAATTTAATAGCATTTGTCTGTTCCAGGGAACTGACTAGACTGGGTATTTTTAATGCCAGATCAGAAGAATTAGTTACCTATTGTTGTATTACAAATGTATTTTTAAATACATTCTCTGTGAATAAATTCTCTAAAGAGTGATCAGTGTAAAATAACCACAGATCTGTCAGATATTAACATTAAAAATTAATCTTAATGTCCAAATTTAATGTATCTGCTTATGATAAATTTCTATATTTAAAACTTAATTAGCATAGAGCTGATGGCTAAAGAACTTTTAACCCTCCTGGTTCACATGTCAGCTGATGGTCATAATTATTTTTATCAGATGCTTTTTTTATAAGTGTTTTAGAGTATGGTAAAGAATATTCAGTCTACTCTAAAAATTCAAAGAATATAAGATAGCCATATCTAATATTAATTCTTAAAATATCAAAAATTTAAGACAATAGTACATAGTCACTTCAATTTAAAAATTTATCTAAAAATGTTTGAAACATTTTTAAAGAGAATTTTCTTTTAAATGCTTTTATTCTGCAGAAGACAGAAATTTCCAAATAAAAATAAACTACTACGAGGATGTTGCATTTTATTTTGCTCTAAATAAGTATACTTTTAAATCACATTACTTTAACCTAGAAATTAATTTATACATTTGATGTCATATCAATATTAGGAGTTATTCTCAAGTTACTTAAGATGATGAGCAACTAAAACTGCTACTTCCTTTTTTTTCAGAAACAACAACAAGTCTTCAAGTCAGCAGTCCTCATCTTCCTCCTCTTCTTCCTTATCGTCGTGTTCTTCATCATCAACCGTTGTACCAGAAATCTCCCAACAAACAACGGTCGTGCCAGAATCTGATTCAAACAGTCAGGTTGATTGGACTTATGACCCAAATGAACCTCGATACTGCATTTGCAATCAGGTAAAATTCTGCTGTATGCTTGTAATAACAAAATCTGAAGAAACTAGAAAGAAGAGAATGATTTCATTTTTAAGCATCCTTTTTACTCTAGTTAAAATACCGTTGCTTTATTTTATACTTTTCCCTTCTTACAAAAGTGACACGTTTGCAATAAATGCAAAGAATATAACGAAAATTTTAAGTTACCCATAAACTCAGATGTTTCCTGTATTCAAACATTTTGATGTACCATGACTTTGCATATTGGCTGTCAACAGAATTTTATTTTCTCACCATTCTGGAGACTGGAGAGTTCAAGATGAAGGTGCCTGTTGATTTGGTTCCTGAGGAGGCCAGTTTCTAGCTTGCAGACAAGTTGCCTTCTCACTGGGTACTCACAGGACAGAGAGAGAGAGAATGAACTAACATGCAAGTGAGCATGAGTGAACTCTGGGGTTTTTATCTTAAAGGCCCCAGCTGTATCAGATGAAAGCCTTGTTTAACTTTTACCACTTTTTCATAGGCCTTATCTTTAGCTATAGGGTTCAACTTACGAATTTTGGAAGGATACAAACATTCATTCCATAACAAATATGTACATGTTTGTGTGTCTGACAATAGCAATCAAAGTCTATGCTGTTTCATAGCTAGCTTTTCACCAAGTGAGATATAATGAACACCTTTTTTTTTTGGTACTGGGACTTGAACTCAGGAGCTCTACCATTTGAGCCACTTGGCCAGCAAACATGATTTTTTTTTTTATGGTCTTTTTTTAGTGTTCTCAAAGCTTATCTTTTATACTATGTATCACAATTTATTTACTTAATACCTAGCTATAGATTATTTTAGTATTTTTAATTCTTTTAAATTATAAATTGCATTATAACTGGCATCTTTTAAATATAACTCATAAATCTTATGTTTGTGACAATTCTTTAGAAACAAGATGAGGCTATAAATATGTGATATCCCTAGAAACTTATTGCCAAAAATTGGTTAGCATGCTCACTTCCTTAACCTTGTCCAACAGTGGGTAATTTCCATTAAAAACCATGTACCAATTTGATAGTTTTGTATCACATGATCATTTTAATTGACTTTAATATTTGGATTGGACATTTTTGACCATTTTTATTCTTTTATGAGTTAACTCCTAATAGTGTTTACCAATTTTTTAATTTTTTGTAATGCATTATGTTTTGCTTGCATTTGTATTGTAAAATTTTAGTTTTATGTAGTATTTTTTTTTTTTTTGCAGTGTTTGTGTTTGAACTCAGGGCCTACATGTGGACCCACTCCACCAGCCCTATTTTTGGGATGGGCTTTTCAAAATAGGGTCTCACAAACTATTTGCCCAGGCTGACTTCAAACTGAGATCCTCCTTATCTCTGCCTCCTGAGTAGCTAGGATTACAGGCATAAGCCACCAGCACCTGGCAACTCAATAATCAAGACATTTTAATGTAATTTTTTGGTTTGTTTTTGGCAGTTCTGGGGTTTTAACTCGGGGCTTCATGCATATTAAGCAGGCATTCTACCACTTGAGCCACTCCACCAGCCCTCAGTTTTATGTAGTTATTGCTCTTAGTCTTTTTCTTGATGAAGTCATCCATGTATTATATTAAAAGTGGTTTCTCTCAGGGGTGGGGGTGTAGGCCACTATTAGAGTATTTGCCTGGCATGCACAAAGCTCTGGTTCAATCCCCAGTACTGAGAAAACAAACAATAAAAAGAAAATCCTTTTTTTTTTTTTTTTTGCACTTTTCTCCTCCCAAATTTGCTTTGTATTGTTGCTGTTGTGCCATCACCTGATGAACAGTTTTTAGTAGCAGTGATTCAGAAAGATGAATTCTGTAAATATCCTGCCAATAAAAGTAGTTACCTACAAAAGAGTGCAATCAAATTCACACTAGATTTTTCCTCTGTAACACTAAAGAACTAGGTGATGGAATGTGTCTGTGAAAAGTTTAAGAGAAAAATTGAAATCTCCCCCAAAAGTTGCTGCCCATAGAAGTTGTTCCTGTGGGTAGGACCACATGAAAGTGTGCTCATCCATGCAGTGAATCAGAAAGTGTTAACCCATGTGAGAAGTCACTCAGCCTGTTGAAAACTTAAAAGACTTAAAGTGCTTGTGCTGAGCAGCAAAAGAAGAATGTGAGAAGACTGAGTGGGCAGTAAGTGAAATGTTCACTGCAAAATACAGATGAGCTTTACAGCCCAAGATGAGGTAGAAACATTCAGTGGGTATATAACCAGAAAGAAACTTTAAAATTATTCAGTAAGAACCATATACAAAGGTACTGAATACATTGAGTTCTTTCAGACTTCCAAAGTTAGCTAATTTCTGTGCATAACTGTTGCCTCTGCTCCCCCCAAAATCTTAGGTACCCTATGTCTCAATGTAATTATATATTCAGTAAACTTTTCTCTGTTTTCTAACATTTTCATAAGCAACCAATTTGATTTAGATGCTTGTTACAGTCATAATAAAAATATTTAATTTTCTTTAATTAGGTATCTTATGGTGAGATGGTGGGATGTGATAACCAAGATGTAAGTATTAACTTTTTCTATTTATAAATGAAAAGACTCACAGGTTGTTACTTGAATATTTTTCTTATTTATTATGTCTCCCAAGTCTAAAAACTAGGTTTGCCGTTGTTATATTAATTATGTTAAGGCAAGAATATTCTCCACAAAAAGGTGGTGTCGCTTAATGTGTTCCCTGTTTAAATTTTAAAGCTAATTTTATGGTATCATGTGCATATTATAATTTTTATATGATGATAAATACCCTTCTTCCCCTGTGCTAAAGACATTGCACAGGGTAAAAACAAAAGACATGCTGAAGACAAAGCATGTGGACTATACTAGTGTCCAGCTCATCTGTCACATTGAAGAATGGAGCATAAAATAATACATCATTTTAGGAAACATGCTGCTAAGGAATGATCGAGGGTTTGATGTGAGGCCCCCTCATTAATAGTTTCCTACTGTACTATATGGGTGTCCACTGATAGCAGCTACTTCTGATATTTTAAAAAAAGGTTGGGGGGTTTGAAAGCAAAGAATTCCTATTTCTTATCTGGAAAGCTTAATTTTGGATAGATATGTGTTTTATTAAATGTGAAGAATATATTTTTTTGTCTAGTTACTTTGATTCCTTACTGTCTTATAGCTCAGCCTCCTTTTGTCTCTTTTTTACTCCAAAGGAGTAAAGAACTGAATTCTGTGGAAGAACTAACCAGTAGTGTCAGAATCATAAAGGGAACAAGAGTTTTAAGTTTATAAAACAAATCAAAAGTATTAAAGGGATTACCTTAGTCCAGTAACATTGGTATCTTTTCCTCACCTGATAGGCTAGAAGTACCAGGCTGTCGTGGGTGTGGACAGTCTCTCCTTCCTCTGCTCTGTGTAGAGTTAGAGTTACTTGGTGGTTATTTGCAAACGGTTTTACTTCACCATTTCAAGAATGCCACTGTAAGCTCTCTTTTGAGCAGTTAATGAAAATGATAAATGAGATTTTTGTGAGTACCAGTATCACATCCTCTGGGATTCCTCTTTTTTCCTGTTGTACTCTTCTGAGTGCTAAGGTTTTCTATCAAATGTAAAACTATCGTCTATGAGGTTTTTTTCCCTACATCTCCAGGAATAGAAGCATCCCGAAAGGATATCCAGGGCACACCTTTATGTGTTTTCTTTGTTTGAGTCAGGGTCTTGCTATGTAGCCCAGGCTGGCCTGGAACTTGCTGTGTAGCCCAGCTTATAATCTTCCTGGCCTCAAACTCACAATCTTCCTACCTTATCCTCCAAAAGTTCTAGGATTACTGGAATGCACCACCATGCCTCACTTCCTTTATGTCTTTATTCTAGTTTCTAAGGAAACAAATAAAGCTAAATATATTTTTTAAACCTTTAGAATATATTTACCCTCATAAAAGATTCATCTTACTTCTTTTTATCCTTGTAAAGTGGTATCACCTGGCTGTCCAAGTTAATGAAGATGAGTGAATGTTAGTTCATTATTTAGTGTTCTGGGAATAGATTCTGTGAATTTCAGTTATCAAAGATGCATACTTTTTCTTTGCCTCTATTTCCTCATCCATGAAGTATATCAGTTGAACTAAGTATTCTCTAAATCATCTATCTAAAGATTCTGATTTCACAAATCTGAATATTAAATGAAATATTCAGTCTACTGGGTTTGTTTTAATACATTGTCTTTATAAATTTTGCTTTCTAGTGCCCAATAGAATGGTTTCACTATGGGTGTGTTGGATTGACAGAAGCACCAAAAGGAAAATGGTACTGTCCACAGTGCACTGCTGCAATGAAGAGGAGAGGTAGTAGACACAAATAAAGGCGCCATTTCATTCGAGGAAGGAAAGAACTTCAGCTCAGCCTTTTTTATAGGATTCTAAAAAGAAGAAAAGAGTAAGAAGAAACAACTCATTTCCAGGCAACCACTTAAAGGATTTACATAGACAATCCTATAAGATCTTGAACTTGAATTTTATGGGTTGTATTTTAATAATGTAAGTAAATTATTTATGCACTCCTGGTGTGCTATGAATATTATTCCAGTTAGCCTTGGATTATTTCTGTGGCCAACATATGCAGACATTTGTACTCCTCGACCATTTTCTCAAAGTAATGGGCATTCTATAATTTAGACTTCAAAGAATTCCAACAATGAAAATTTTAAGAAAAGTATTTTATATTCAACAGGTATATTCTGCTGCATGTACTGTACTCCAGAGCTGTTATGTAACACTGTATATAAATGGTTGCAAAAAAAAAGTCAGTCCTTCTAAAAAGAATTTAAGATAATGGTTTTTAAAATGCCTTTATAATAAGCTTTGTTTCTTTGTGAAACTAATTCAGCAGGCTGAAGGAAATAGTTCATGTGATGAAGTGGGCTGGTGTCCTCTAGAGTACCTGGGTACATAAACAGAACTCCTGTAGGTAAAAGCTAATTCGTGCCATTAGTCTTTATATGTTTCTGCATCCTGATAGAGTGCAGTTCGTGTGGGTGGGGGTGGGGGGATGAAGGGGAAGGGTGTTAAAGTGATACATTTTTATACCAAATGTGTTTATTTTTTTGTGCAAGTAATCCTTAAAATTGGAATTGTATTAGGTGTTAAAATAAAGTTTTTAAAAAATTACTTGTATTTATACTTTACATACTTAATAATGAAAATTTCTTAATTCCAATTAATTTCCAGTTTTCATAATTTAAAAAGTACAGAGGCCCAGGACACAGAATGCTGTGTAATCTGTGATTTCTATTGAGAATGCTTAGAAATTATGTTAGGAAAATAAGGAACAGACATTTTTAATGTAAATTTGAAGTGCCAGTGTATTTTTCTAGAACATTTCTCTAGCTTTTACTTCACTCTAAGGGACATAAAAGAACCCTAATTACACCAGATAAAATGGAAATAATGGTTAAGATGTTTTCACTGGAAGTAATGTGACCAGCAAGAATGAAGAGACCCTGTGGACTGGAGCTTAAAATTCAGCTCTATTTTTAGTTCTGTGACATACTAGTATAACAGTTGATTCAAATCTTTAATCACGCTGGTGCTTATGAAACCAGGGTGATGCTGACTGTAGGATGCTTTTAAAGCACTCTGGAGGTTTTATTCTATAGGTGCTATTTCTAGATTTTACATAGTAAAGGTTTTATGAAAAATATAATACTGAGTCTGGTACATAGAAAAATCCTTGAAACTTCAAAGGTAGTCATTATATCATGTTTCCTTTATATTGAAATGTACTGGGTCCATCAGATTCATGCTTTAATTAAACCCACTAATGAGCCTCTTCAAACTTACTTAAAAGGCAGTGTAAAATCTATGCAATGCTACCCATAGGAGATGGAGTAGATAGGAGACTTTAGAGGTCTCTTTCAGCTCTGAGATTCCATTATTCTGTTACAGTCTGATTTTATAACTGTCAGCACAAAAAGAAAATTAGGTTCATATTGTGAGTACTTGTGATTTCATAATATCATGGGTATTGTGATTTTATGATACTCAATATTTTCATGAGTATTTTATAAAACTTTAAGAAGTAATATATAATACAGTGTTTAGTTAGTTTGTTATGTATATGTTTCCTGAAGATGCTCAAAGGAATAATTTACATCCTCTTAATTATATATTATGAGTTCTTCAAACTCATTTATTTTATAAGAATTGGTCAAAGGAAAATGTCTTGTGCGCAGCCTTACTTAAGAAAACATTCATTGGCTGAGTTAGGAACACCCCTATTTCCAGCTACTACAGCATACCCTTTTAGTTTCTAAATTCTCTTCCTACCAGATCACTCATAAAACAGTTGACAAGTTTCGAACTCAGACACAGAGTATTTTATGAATTGTATATAAAGAAATAAACCAAAATTTTGTGCAAGTATTTAGTAAAGGGTAGAACCTGTTAATAAATGAGATATATATAATGGGCCAAATGTGGAGCTACCTCATTTTCTTAAAATGTGGCCAACTATTAATATTCTTTGTGACATTTACACCAAGGGCATTCAATATCTTTGTTGTACAAAACTCATGTAATAGTTGGTGGCATATAAGGTCCAAATGTGGTTCATACTTTATAGGTGGTGAAAATTGAGGCCTTACTGCTGTAGAGTGTATATTTAACTGTTCATGGTGACACATTTGAAGCAATAAATGGCTTAATTCAATGCCTAAGTGAAGCTGAGTGTTTGATAAACATACAGTCATTCTTTTTAAAGGCAGTTAATTTTTTTTTTTGGCTTTTTTCCTCCTCTAAAGCAAACTCCTATGTGTTTTAGGTTTTCAGCCATCATATGTGTAAGCTGTTTTAGTGACCTTTGTCCATGGACTTTAGAAATGGTTTTCTTGAGCTAATTATTTTAATCTTAGACAAGTAAGTATCTGATAAACTTGTGTTTATCACACACAAGTGTGATACTCTTTTGCATGTGTAGACATAACAAAATTTCCCTCACACTAAAGAAAAAAAAAGCTCAGTAGGTGGGTTTTAAGAGAAAAGAATATCCTCCAAAAGATCTGTATAACTTTGTAAATGTTAAGCATCTAGATACGAAGAATACAGAGATTAAATTATGTTGGTGAGAGAAGTGGGGGGCCTACTTGTTAACAAGTAATCATGATGTTTTGGTAAATGCCATAATAGATGGAGAAAGCTCAATGAGAATATTGGAGGCAGGGGAGTTGGCTATTGCCATAGTCAAGAGCACTTAACAAAGAAGGAAGCTTTTGGACTGAGTCCCAAAGATGGGTGAAGTGGAGAAAGTTTTCAAGTCAAAGACTGGCCCAAAACTGTGCATTCTGAGAATGACAGTCTATAAGTGGACCTGTCATAGCTAGTATTGGGAAGAATCCAAAAGCTGAGCAAGAATATTCATGAGGAGCGTTTTACACCATGCTATGGAATTGTTAATAGTAGTCATGTTTAACCATGGTTATATTGTGATTAACAATTTAATCACAACATTTGTGATTATGAAGTGGGGATAATTTGAATTAGTCTGTACTTAGAAACTGCCTAGTACTAAGTACAGGGTGGATCTTTACTCTCACTTTTCGAAGTGACAAATTAGAATCTCTAGTAAATTGAAATTTTTGGTTTTCCTTATTTAGGTGACAAATTCTAAATTACTGAAACATTTGTGATTTTTTTACCTAGCATCTTAATATTCATGATGAGGTACATTAAAGAGAAATAAGTTAAAATTTAAAGTGATTCAAAGATAAACTGAGTTCAGATTTCGTTGGTTTTCAATTAAAGCTTGATAAAAGGAAGAAATATATCACTTTCTGGCTATTTCTGTTTTATTTTATGTTGGCGGGATGGGTTTGAACACATGGCTTTGTGATTTCAGAGCGGGCACTCTACCATTTGAGCCACACCTTCAGTCTGCTATTTTTTGTTTTTAAAGGAGTAGGTCACGTGTGTGTTACAAGAAGTCTAGGCATGATAAATATATGCCTTTGAAAGCAAATCAATAATTTCTTAATAAATTCTTCAGAGCTATATAATTTAGGTTTTAGTTAATGCACTAATACCTTTTGCTTCATTCACTACTAACAGGAAACTGAAGAGACCATTATAACTTCATTTTCCTGCTGTTTATTAAAAATTCAGGAAGCTTTGGTGGACTTACACTTGGGAGTGAGAGTGGAGAAGGCCTATGTTAGTAAGAGTAGCTTAGCTTGCTTAGGAAGATGTGTATGCTAGTTTTAAAAAATGTGCTCATTTAAATCATTCAAATGTTTAATATAGTAGGGAAAAAACCTAATGGTCATATTTTAATTCTTTTTGCATTGTTAAATCTGCTCCAGTAGAGGGACCCTCACACTGGTACATTAAAATAAAAGCAGTTGTAATAAGTATCAAGTGACTTTAAAAAGCTATCTAGGTCACATGTAATATTAAGAGGCCAGTCAGAAATACTGCTAAGTAACCTTGAACACAAATACAAGGCATTTGCCTAGCAAGACTTTACTAATGATTCATTAGGTTTTAGTATGTCTCATGAGACATTATCAAAAGTTATGTTCATGTCCTTGAAGCGTTTGTATTTTTATCTGTAATATGACAAAATTATTTTTTTGAGTAGTTTGAGGGACTGATTGTAAAGAAAAAAATTCATAGGCTTCCCAAGTGCACCAAAGGTGCTTTCACTTTGCTAGTGGTTGTCATTTTCAAATGTTTTTTAAAGAGTTGAGTTATCTGCTGAAAAGAAAAAATTAAGCTACATATTGATCATATGGTTTAGATTAGATGTAGAAGTTACCTTTTGACTTTAGGTAGTGGGCAAGTCACCAGAGAGCCATATTCAAAGAATGTGCCTACCCATCCAGAGTAGCTAAAGAATGCCAGCATTCATTGGAGAGATCAGACAGATCCCCCTCCCCCTGCCCATCCTGTCACATGCAAATTTTTAAGTAACAAAGTTGATGCTGTAAACGTTTCAAAATACCTTTTTCTCTGAAAATAAAAATGGATGCTTTAGTTATGGTTACATAAAAGAAAGACAGGAGAAGGAAAGGAAGGAGAAAAGAGAGGGAGGAGGGAAGGAGCCAAATTGTGTGGCTTTCTTAAGACATTAGAAAAAGTATATTATGGTTTCCAAGAAGTCCTATGTTGGAGATCTACAGAGAAGGTTGATGCTATCATATAACAAAAGCTAAATTTGTTAATGTTTTACATAGTATTTAACTGAAGGAAATTATGGCTCCATACCAAGGTGTACACTTGTATTTTGAAAAAATTAAAACAAATAGTGTGATTCATTAATTGTATGTATACATTCTACCTGTTTGTCTTCCTATATCTATCTATCTAGCTAGTAGCTAGCTATCAATCAATCACCTTCTAGGAATATGTGTGTACATATCTATATCTATCATCTATCTAGGAATGGGTGTATATATGTATGTACATTTTCTATCTGTCTGTCTATAGTGTTTTAAAGGATGAAAATCTAAAAGATGTTTTAGAGGCTTAAAGGGAATCATACATCCAAAGTTGCATTTGTTTTGAGAAACAGTATAATTACACATTCTGGAAGTAGTTAAAATCTCAAGGACGCTAATCCTGTCATTGCCACAAGCTGGGGGAGATCCTCACTATCCTAATTTAAGTTAATGTAAAAATTGTGCAACAAGTATCTCTTCAGGTAACAGAATTTCCCAGCCTCAGCACTTTGGACATTCTGTGCCAGATGACTGTGTTGTGAGGCTGTTCCACACATTGGAGGATAGGTTCAGCAGCTTCACTGACCTCTGGGCCCTAGGAGTCAGTAATGACAACCCCTCCCTTTTGCCACTTGTGACAACCAAAAATGTATCTGAAAATTGTCAGATGTCTTCTGGGGGACAAAACTGCCTCTACTTGGTTAGTATTATCAGGATGTGAAATAATGAGATGGGAATAATAATGGAAAGTATTTGAATCCATGTGTAGACTTCTACAAATACAAATTTCTAAAACTACTTGATACAGTAAGAGTACAGGGATAGGCAAAATAGCTTCCAGTATAAAACAGTTTCTACTGTAAAAAGGCTTAAGTTCAAAAGTAAATAAATACAGCACAAATATGATAAAAGGAATTTTGATACCGATGCAAGCGAATTCAAAATACCTATTAATATAGGAAGTTATAGAAATAAGTATCTACTTGAAAATTATGCAAACCTAAGAGCAGATGTCCCATTATAAAGAGAAAAGTGTGGGTGTGTGGGATCCTTCTCTCAGGTGATTCGTATTTTAGAAACACTGGTCTAAGGGATAATCTAAAATTAAAGCATTTGGTCCAGAGATTATGGTCCATGTGGGCTGATTGTTCATCTAGAAACATAAAGAGATTGTGGGATATGTCCATTTAAACAAAAAAAGTACAAAAGTGAAGAATTTTCACCTAAGCATTTTACTTCCCTGTGTAAGTCGGACAGTAACCATGCAAGAGGGCAGTCCTGCACACGGTCCTTTTTACCCCTCAACCCAATTCTCAGGCCTTTGCCAAATCCTGCTAGCCCATCAGCATACCAGGTGTAGAACCACTGGGAAAGAAGCAGAAACCCTTTTCCCCCCTAATTCATAGAAAACTCTGTATAATGTTCAGGATCCTTACATTGAAACCCATACCTTGAACAAAAAGTGATTCCACTCAAATGAAATGATTTTGAGAGAAGCAAATTAAATTGGAAGGAAATTAAGTAAGTTTAAATGTTAGCTGTATTAAAATTGCAGAAAACATGCAGAACAGTTTCAGTTTCAGTTGGCTAATCTTCACATATCAAGGAGCATATGTGAGCCTGATTGTAGACAGCCTTTTTGACAGGTAGATGAAAGCTGTTAAATGTAAGTGAAAGGATGCAGGATCCTATCTGATATAATACAATGTTCTGTGTTTACATAACTTGTGGATAATATATAATCAAGTGTATTTGAACCTGTATTACCTGAGTATAGCATTTGCTTTCTAAGAGACACAAAAGTCTCTAGGGCAGGAAACTGGTATTTCATACAAAATTTTCCATTAAATTTAATATTTATATTGCACTACTGAGAATAATCACATGAACTTGACCCATGTTTATCCCACCAAAAAAAAAAACAAGGAAATTTTTGCTTTGTGAGTTCATAATTAGTGTTAATATAATGTTTTTTTCTCAAAGTCATCCTACCTTAACAGCTGTCATGGTATCTTCATTAATAAATCTTCTGGGAAAGAAACTTCATAGATTCCTACTTTCTTCAGAGAAAGATTAAATAAACTCTTATACTTGGAGATTACAGCCATTCTTGAGCTATACCTAACACTTTTCTAGCTTTATTTTGGTGGTCTTCCATGAAGACAAAATCTGTATCTATAAAATCATCATGACTCTTCAGTGAGAAGTGGCCACTTTTCTGAAGCTTTCCTTACCACCTCCCTAAACATGTGAACTCCCTATTTTGATTCTTTAGGACACTTAGCTTATCTCCCTCCTAGTTGCAGCTTATAGAGCCTTGTTTTCTTTCAGTCCTGGGCATGTGGATAGACCTCATTTTCCAGATCAGTTTCCATTAGGGTGGCCATATGATTCAGCTCTGGCCAATAGAATGTAGGATAAAGGCCATATGCCAACTTGAAACAATGCCTAAAAGACTTCCCATACGATCTTCCCTACTCTTTATCATTCCTTGTCTGCTGATGAGATACAGAGGAGTCTAGCAAGTACCCAAGATTCTAGTCTACAGAATAAAGTCATCAAGTAGAAATACCCTTGGAACACAATGTCTTAGTGGAAACTGAGAAACACTGGAAAATATTATGAGTGAGAAATGAACTTTTATTATAAGGAGCTGCTAAGATTTGCAAGTTGGTACCTCATCCTGCTCTGATCAATTATCAGTTTGTCATATTCAAGTTATTTATATGTTCTCTGTTTTCCAGTGTCTAGGATGATGATTTTGAATACTAGAGATTTAACATCTGATTCCTGCTTTTAAACTGCCACCTTATGTTCAGAGATTATGGGGAAACTTCTGGAGTGAGCATTAGAGGTAAGGTGGTAGGAGCTGAGAAGGAGTCAAACATTCTAAGGACCAGGGTCTTGCCATCACTTCCAGGACTTGACTTAGGACATCACCAGCAGTAGTTACAGCCAGATATTAGGTCATGGCCAGGAGCCTTTTGAAGAGAAAAGCTGTCCTCTGAAGGTTACAGCAGAGAGGAAATCCAAAAACCCTTGTTCCTTCCTATTATTGCTTATACTCTCTCTTCAACAAAATTAGAGATAAGGGCAAAATAGTTTCTGCTGGGTATCGAGGGGGTGGGGGGGAGAGGAAGGGGATGGGGTGGGTGTTAAGGGAGAGGGTGGGGGGAGGGAGGAGAAATGACCCAAACATTGTATGCATGTATGAATAAAAAAAATGTATTCGCAGAAGCATGATTTTTGCAACATCAAGTGATCTTTGAGGACATCTATTGATCAGGGAAGCCCCTGTTTTATGAGAAAGCTGGGACTCTGAAAGGTATATTTCTTGTGATTCAACACTGGGATCTTCATTATACATATTTCTATTCCTCTACTTTAAAAACTACATAATATCTTAAAATGTCTTCTTCATAATCTCAGCAGTCAGGAGCCAGAAGCAGGAGGATCATGAGTTTGAGGCCAGCCGGGGCTACAAAGTGAGACCCTATTTCAAAAAAAGAACTGGTAATGTAGTACAGTTGTAGAGCACTTGATTAGCATGAAAAAGGCTCTGGGTTGATCCCCAGCACTGCCAAAAATAGAATTCTATCATGCTTTCCTACTACCTGCACTCCATATCGAAACTCAGAATGAGGTGTATGTGTCATGAAAGAGGGTCATTTTATGTTGGAAACATTTGGGGAGGAAGATTTTTCTGTCTTGTATAACCTTGAAATTATAGAATATGTTTGTCACTCTATTATCTCCATACCACCTAAATATTCACCCTTGAATACTGAGATTATTTAGTGGAAAAGGTACTTTATGGAGCTGCATGCACAAAAGCATCCATTTGAACATGCAAGAACCCCCAGGTTCATAGTTCTACTGCACATTTGCCCTTTTACTACCCTTACTGAACCAGCTCACCCTCTGTCTTTATAGTTCCCTGTTTAGCCTCCTTCAATACAGCTTCTACTAGCCTTGCACTCAAAAATACCTAATATGTAAGGAACTCAAAAAACTCAACAGCAGAAAACAAAGCACAAACAACCCAATTAAAAAATAAACAATAGACTGGATAGGGAGATTCATACATGTAATCTCAGCAACTTGGAGGTGGAGATAGGAGGATTGTGGTTTGAGGCTAGCCTGGGCAAAAAGAGTTAGCAAGACCCTATCTCAAATGATAAGCCAGGCATGGTGGCCCACACCTGTAATCCTCGGCACACAGGAGGCAAAGGTAGGAGGATACCAATCTAAGGCCAGCCTGGGCATAAAATATGAGACCCTATCTGAAAAATAAAGTGAAAATGGCTGGAGCCATGGCTCAAGTGGTAGCATGTTTGCCTAGCAAGTGGGAGGCCCTGAGTTCAAAACCTCAGTACCACCAAAAAAAAAAAAAAAAAAAAGCAATAGACCTATAGAGACATTTGTCAGAAACAGACATGCAAATGGTTATCAGGTACATTAAACATTGTTCAACATCTCTAATTATCAGGGAAATGCCAATCAAAGCCACCTCCATATGATCCAGCATTCCAGTACTGGGTGTATTCCCAAAAGAAATAAATCAGTTCTTCAAGAGACACCTGAACTGCAGTGTTTCTTGCAGCATCATTCCCAAAATCCAAGAAAAGGAAACCACTGAACTGTTCAACAACTGATGAATGAGGAAAAGAAAAGTGGTGCATATACAAAATGGAATACTGTTCCACCATAAAAACAATGAAATACTGTCATTTGTAACAGCATGGATGGAACTGGAGATCATTATGTTAAGTGAAAAAAAAAAAAAAAGAGCAGGCACAGAAAAGTGTCATATGATCTCACTCACACCTGGAACCTAAAAAGTTGGTCTGAGAGTAGAATAGTGATTACCAAAGGCTGGGGAAGATAGGGAAGATGGGGAAAAGTTGATCAATGAGTATTCTGTTACAGTAGAATAGAAGCAAGAAGTTTTAGTGTGCTATTGCACACAAAGATTATGACAATATACTGTGTATTTCAAAAAGCTAGAAGCAAGAATTTAAAATGTTACTCACAAAGAAAAGATACATGTTTGAGTGGAAAATGTAACCTGATTTAAGCATGACATAATATATACATGTATCCAAACATCAGATAGCACCTCACTAATATGTGTAATTGTTATGTGTTTTACATATCAATTAATTTAAAATACAATGATCTTAGTATCCCTAACCTACTTCTCAGGTATGAATATCTATGTGTGGTTCCCACACAGTCATTTTACACCAGCGTTGTCCTCATTGTCTCCAACTGGCATCTGTCCCCAACCTCCATCTCAAAGAGCGAAGAGAACAATATTAAAATCACCATAAAATCGTGAGAGCTGAACACAGCCTCAGCATCCAAAACAACATGTTTATTCAGCATACATTCACCCATCGGACGCTCACAAAATGCTTAGCTAGTTTCCATACATCATCAGGTCTAGTTGTGCCAACAATGCTTCATAGGAGGCACCTTCATCTCACAAACAAGGAAAGCTGGGACTTAAATATGTCAAATTTCTTGTTCAAAGATAGCTAAGAAGAGACAGTGAATGCCATGATTCAATTTCCCATTGGGTTTACTGTAAAACGAGACAGGGCCTGTGGATCTCCTTAGTCTGTTTGGTGACAACTCAGACTATGCCTTCTTCCCCAGCTCTTTGCACCCACTCATATCAACTAATCCCTTTCTCCTGCCAATATTCCTTTACCAGCTGTCTTCTCTAGCTCCCTCAGACTCACTACTTTCTCCTCCTCCTCCTCCTGGCTGTGCTAGAGTTTGAACTCAGGATCTTGCACTTGCTAGGCAGACCCTCTATCACTTGATTATTTTTTTGTGGTAATGGAGTTTGAATTTAGGGCCCTGAGCTTTCTGGGCAGGCACTCTACCACTTGAGTCACTCTCCCAGCCCACAACAATCTAATGATGCATAAAAATGGCCCTTCAGATTCTGCAAACCCTAGTTTTTCAGACTTCTGATCTTCATAGAACCATTTGTATTACCCAATAAATACCCTGGATTTCATAAACGTAGAAACCATCCCAATTTAGTGATCTCATAGTAGCTATTATCCTTCCAATCATATTGCACTCACCAAAACTGTATGCCATATAGCATACCTCTTAAAGCTCTCTGGAGTTCTGAATGTCAAGTGCTACTACAGTTTTCTCTATTCCTTTATTTGTTATGGGATTGAGGACTTTGAATCTATATATCAAATAATATTAAACACGCTAGAGATACTTGCAAGAACTCGGAATAAAGCTCGTCTTATTGTGCAAACTTATTCTGTAATACCTTGATTCATCTGTTTTATAAGGTGTTAAAAATAGTTTCTTGTTAGCAAGGAACTAGATGCCCATTTCTCTGAATCTATAATAGCCGGGCACCCCTAGGGGGCGCTCCCTTTCATAAAATATAAGCGGATGGGCATGCTTTATGGCTGTGACCTCAAGGGAAAACTTCAGCCCACGAGGAGTTTGAGTTAGGTTATAGAACCTATTGAGGCTCAAAGTCTTTGAAGTATGTCTGCTATGAGCCTAAGTCCTTCCCATGCACCCAGAGTTCTCAAAGCAAAGACTAGGAGAGGAGCATGTCACATGCTCCACGAAGACTCTCCGTGATGGTCTTGTGGTTGACCCAGCAAAAGGGGATGAGTTTACAATGTCCATGTGACGGTCAATATAGAATTAAATGGGTCTGAATTCTGGACAAAACGTGTTGGGTGCCTCCTTTCTGTTGGGCAAAAGTTAATCCCAACACCCGCTGCAATCGACTCATTTTTAGGAGTAAAGCGTCAGACTCGCTGTCAGTCCAGACGGGCAGTTATCATAAATGTGATGAGTCGGGTCCTAAAGCGGAGGGGACTTTGACTTAAGCTGGTGTATACCACAGGATTTCCGGCTCTGTGGTCCAGACAGTTCTTGTGACCCTTTCGTCCTCATAAGTGTAACCACAATTCCCTGGAGTGATGAACCTCCCAATTAATTCAGTTTGCTTTTGGCTCATCTTCGACCTTTGGCATCAAATTGACGGGGAGCTATTTGTTTTTCTAAAGCTGTATTAGGGAAAAGCAATTACATGTGGGATCAGACATCAAATAGGTTTCTAAATTCTGCAGCTCTGGATAGGCAGCCGCATTTCAGGGTTTGAGGAGGGCTGTCCTACGGAAACCCAGGGTTTGGGATCCTGAGCGGGCGGCGCGGCTCCAGCTGCCCCCGGGGCGCCGAGCAGCCCGGGCCTGGCCGCGCTCCGCCCCCGACCGGGTGGCTGCGGTGCCCGGGTGAGCGTGCGAGGCGGCGTGTCTGCGCACGGGTGCGACCGTGGGTGAGAAATGATCTGGGGCCACACGACTGGGTGTTTCCTTCCGAGTGGTTTTGATCAGCAATCCATGAGGCGATCATGGAAACTTTTTTTTTTTTCCTGGCTAAAAGGATGAAAACTGAGTAAGTACACAGAACTTTGAACTTGAAATGGAATGAAACCAATACAAGCAAAACCCTGACAGTAACCATGTCCACTCAATCCGCTGTTCCCTTTTTATCTTAAAAGCCGTGAATGCTTACAACAAAGTGGCAATTTAAAACTGAATGAAGGAAGCAGTTAAGAAACATAAAAGACTGAAAGCTGGGCTGCTTTAATACTGGAGGAAAAATGAGGAACTGCTAGGGTAAACTGGCCTGCATCCAGCTGTGCAACAGGCACTTTGGGTTTAACCTATTACGTTCTTCAAGGCTGTTTTCAGACTCCAGATTTACTTTGGTGTTGTTTTCTCTTTTCCCTTAAAGCTGAGACGGAGCTGGACTCCTTTATTGCGAGCTAAAGGATGTTGTGGAAATAAGGCATTACCGGAAGCAACAGTTTGGCAGCCTGGGATGCGCTCGGATTATTAGTTACAACTACTATTATTTTAGTATCTTTTTTTTAAAACCCTGCTCAGTCACTTTTTTACTGACCTCCATGGAAGGGATCTTATTAACCATCTATGACTTTCGGGACGTTTGATCCTTTGGCATGACACTTTGGAAAGGTCTTAAGTGGAGATGGAGCAAACTTGATTGCAGTTGTGGAAAAGGAAGACAGATTTGTGTTCTCCATGCTGACAACAGCTAGCTGCTATGACTTTTCCGGCAACGTGGACAGGGGCCAAGAGAAGCTGAACTGGTCATGGTCTGTCGCCCAGTGTTCCTTTGTCGTCGGCGATTTTGCCCCCGGCCCTTCTTGGTGGGCTTGGTGGTGGCAATCTGTCTCTTCTACCAGACCCTGACACTTCGGGGGATGAGGAAGCTCACATCCACTGTTCCCCCCACGCCCACCGAAACCCAGGCAAGCAGATGCAGGAAAGGACACCCACAGGATACACAGTGCTATCTTCTCTCCGGCAACGCACAGGAAACCAGGAAGGTAAGACTCAGGAGCTTATCAGACAGTTTCTGCAAAGACAGCAGTCCCTTCTGTAAAACTAAAATTAACTCCAGAGGATAAACAGCAGAGAGTGACCCAATGACAGGGAAACACGTTACATAAGCTTCAACTTCTTATATTCACTTCAAGAAAGTTCTGGCCTTTATCCTTTAGAATTTCACTTTATTTCAATGCAATGAAATAGACAGTTTGGGGGAGGAAGAAGTGATGGGATTCCTTTCTAAAGTATTAGGAATCTAAGTCATCTGAGGACTTATAGATCAGAAACATAAAACAAAGTTTCAAAAATCTGATACATGCTGAGTTGCTCCTTTCTTAAGGCAGTCAATATGAGTGCCCAGACCATCCCTGACTCAGATATGCCAAAATTCCTTCTGATTGTCAAGTAAATCGGTTCTTAATCAGTGAATGCATTTCCAAAGCAATATATTTATTTCTGAAGCATTCAAAGGAATAGTGTCACAGGTTTCTTCAAAATAATTAACACATTACTTTTCATAGAATTAAGGAAATAGAGATTATTCTATACTTACAATAATCTTATCAAGTGTAGGAAAAACACAAGTTAAGAAAACACACAGAATTTCTATTTTAATATACTACTCTGCAAACTAATGATGGTTAAAATAATCAAGCACAAAAAGAGAAAGGAAAAAAAAGGAGGGGAGGAATGTATATAACAAATCATGATGGTAAAGCCACTGGATGTTTTTGCAGCAAGAGAATTTAGGAATCTACACATGTACTACCTGATCTCTAAAGTAGATTTAGGTTGATCTTCAGATCTTTGGTATTGTTTGGAGCAGAATTTCCTGTTGGATGCCAGCACTAGGGCTACCAACTGCCAACACCTCCAATGTCCACTGTTACTTTCTTTTAAAACCCCATATTTATTCCATTTCAAACTTATAACCCTGTGGGATCGGTACTAGAGGTATGATTGTCATTGATTTACAGATTGGGTGACAGACACTGAAAGATGTTTGTGTCCACGTGGCTAGCATTACGACATGGTGAATCCCCAGAGGAAAAGACACCATGGTGATTGGTTCCTTCCACAGGACTGATGCTTTAAATAAAAGTAAACTCAAAACTTTCATAACAATTTGTGATATCACAACTAGAAGAATTTATAGCAAATAATTAGATTAAGAAAATGTAAATAGCTTTTTTTTTTGGTGGTGGTAGTGTTTGAACTCAGGGCTTCATGCTTGGTAGGCAGGCCCTCCACCACTTGAACTACTCTGCCAGCAGATTAAATAAGAAAATTTAAAGACTGTTAATTGATTGTCTTCATTTGTTTGCAATAAGATCTAGGTATATATTGATCAAGAACAATGGCAAAGAATAAAATATAAGTAGAAACAACTTTAGATAAAACTTCAACTAAATATGTGCATCAGTTTCTAGATGCTATAAGATAATTGAAGAATCTGCATTTTGGGTTCATTTCTACTAGCACTGACTATTTTATTAGTGTATATTAATTGTACAGAGAGGTTCCATACCTGCATGTAATGTACTTTGATCATATTCTTTCCCTGTATTAATTTTATTTGCTTTTTTTCCTTTCTTGAACATATCAAATTTGTGATGGATGTAGTTGACTTTTAAAGTCACTTCTTGTTAGTCTCTAATAGTAAAACACATACTTTCTTTAGTTGGGATAGTTATGTATTTAAAAGCCTAAAATAATTTCTAAGAATTTTAGATGAAAAGGCTTTATTCACTAATGTATACCCTTTCTTACTCCTCTGCCGGACTTTCTGTGATTCCTGCTTTGTTTGTGATTTAGGTATATGTTAACTATTATTTGTAGACTGTCACAGATAATTCCATTTCAACTTTGGATTTCCTGCTAGGTATAAACCATCTGAAACTTATTGGCTGTTGGTGTAAAGTGTTCACTCTAGAATTTTCTTCACCAGAAATGACAAACACATGATGGTTTTGTTTTCCAAGTGATTCATGGTTTTAAATATTTTAAACATAAGCAAGATTCTCAATTCAGAATTATAGTTCAGAAGCCCAGTAGATGTGAAAACTACCATTCCCAAACAGTTCCCATGCACCTCCACTTTTAACCTGTGCCAGCTACTGGTTTAGAATTAATTTTATTTGAAATAAGTAGGAAGGTAGAAAGAAGGTATCATGCAGACATTAGTTAATATCAGGTACAAATAAATTCTATTTGTAATATATATTCCAAAAAAAGGAATAAAATAATAACCCATTTGAAATGATTTAACATTCTTTCAGATATTTAAAATGAAGAAATACATATAGTGATTAATAAGTTGAGATCACTATATAGATTATTACAAAATACGTACTTAAGAAATTCACTAATAAAATAAATGATGAAACACCATATAGATGTTTCCAAGCATCTAAAACTAGCCTGAAGGCATTTTATAGACATAGGATTGTTTCTATCTATATGTTTTGAAATTTGTTATTACTTTTATTAATAAGGAAAAGCATTTGAATTTTTACAGTTTTCCCTTACTTGAATCCATTCATCTTTACTTTAAGTACTTTAAAAAAGTTACCTAAAACAGGGGATTTTGACCTGTAGTTCATGGATTCAAAAATGTATTTTGGATGAATAAAATATCTAAACCACAGAAATTTTATGCAAAAATTGTACGTATATATACATGTATATATATACATATATATATATGTATATATATATATACATGTATATATATACATATATATATGTATATATATATATATAGGGAGATATTAAGGAAAAATAATTCATTTTGATTAGACATTCAGAACTAAAAACATGCCAAAACCCACTAAAAATCCTTTACAGCCAATATGTTTAAATGTTTAACTAACTGCTCATTCAGGATGTGTAAACTGCATCTGGATTTACAATAAATGCTAAAATGAAAAAGAAATCTTAATTAAAGACTGCAACTGAGAATTTTTTTTTATAAGTGCATCAGTGAATGTAGTGATGTCTATTTGGACAAACATTCAGAATGCTAGAGTATCTCAGAGCACTTCTTGAATCAGAGTTTTCATTCATTGATGAATAAGCATTAAGTCTTTTCTAGTCCTTTTGGTTGCACTTGCTTCTAAGAAAAGAATTTTGTACTTTATCAGCCTAGTAACAGAGGGTTCTGTAAAAGAAAATATTTGAAGATGAGTAATTTTGCTCTCCACACCTTTACCATTGGGATCTGATTTAATGTCCAAAGCTGTTTTCAGCATGACTTGAGATCATGGTACAGTATCTGCCAACTTTCCATTGAAAGGCCATCATAAGGAAGTGCTTTCTTTCTGGCCAGATTTTAATGCATTTTCCCATCTGAAAGTTCCAAAGTACCTTGTTAAGCAGATGTACTATTGTCATTTCTTCAGGATTTTCTCTCAACATTGGATGCTTGAATATGTCTGATAATCTGCAGAGTCTAAAAATTATTCTAATTTAATATATACACATAGTTATGTTTTCTTCACAAAAGTAGGTTACTCACCACCTTCATAGAATCTAACACTTTAACATCACATAACACAGGAAGCGCATTAAATCATAAACAGACAAAATGGAAGAAAATCTCCTTAGTATATGTTCCTCTAATGGAAACATTGCTATTTGAGGAATACATTTATGCTTGGGAGAGCCATGTGTTTCTGATTATTTCTTGTTGAGGCTCCACAATGAGAACTACTATTTCTTTGACTCTCATTTGGCTGTTTATTTTCCAAGTATTCCAGATGACTATTCTATGCATCTCTGACTCCCCACCCCGGATCCAAATACAACCCAAAGTAAATAAGTCAATGTTCTAAGAATGTTCTGATTAATTTTGTTTGCATTTCTTATAGTAAATAATATATTTAACATTTGAAGATTTCTTTGAAACTACTTTTTTAGCTCATGTTTTCTAGAAACACAACCTTATGCAAACTCTTACATGTAAATACTTGATTGGAAAAATGCAATCTCAGAGGCTCAATAATGGGAACAAAAAAAGAGAAGGAGGGATGGTAAACACAAGTGGGTGAATTACTGGGGTCACAGTCACAGAAGCTGTCATTAACTACTGCATCTCAGAACAGGCATTAGAGGAAGGGAAGGCAAGACTAGCTAGCAATTTATTTCCTGACTTTGTCTACCCCTGCCTTTTATTGGTTGGAGTCCATCCCAATCTGGATTCTCAGGGTGGCCACTGGGGAAGACATGGCCCTGTTCTGTAGGTGTTGTGTTCCCAGTGCAAAGGGAAAGTTGTTCCTCCTTTTCAGCAATACTGTGAGTAAGAGCGATAGGCCGTTGGTGGATGAGGTGGGGAAAGCAGTGCTGGTAGCTTTACGACCACAACCATGGTGTGAGTAATGTCTATCATGAGGGGAAATGAACTAGTAATTACTGGTACAATAATGATGATAATTTTGGTTATTGAAAGTCCACTGAAAATGCCTGCATGTACTCTGTCTCTTGAGAAATGTCTGCTTTCTTTAAACAAAAATTTTGTAGGGCTGGTGGTGCTGCTCAAGAGGTAGAGCACCTGTCTAGCAATTATAAAGCCCTGAGTTCAAAATCTAGTACTACAAAAATTGTAGTTATCTCACTGAGAACCTCCTTTTCAACTGAAAAAGCAAAACAAAACAAAACCTCACTTTCTGTTATGACTTCTGCTCTTTATTCCTTTCACTCATTCATCCTTTCATTTTTTTAATTTCATAAATATTTATTGAGCAGTTAGTATGTGCCAGACATTTTATGAGAGACTGGTGATATAGAAATAAAAGCCACCCTGAGGCAGACAAAATAAATATAGGGCTAGGAAACTGATAACCTAAGACTGCTTTTCGGGCTGGGCATGACGGTGCATTCCTGAAGCCTAGCTATTTGGGAGGTGGAGATAGGAGGATTGAGGTCAGGGGTGGTCCAGGCAAAAGCGCAGGACTCTATCTAGAAAACAAACTAAAAGCAAAAGTTCTAGGAGCCTGGCTCA